TGTCTCTGTTGTGATCCTTGATACCTCCACTTTTCCTCTCACTCTAGGGTTTGTCCCCTATTGTAGTTGGATGTTAAAGGAATTAGCTCATTTATATGGGTTGGGTATCTAGATATGATAAAAAAATTAACAGTTAATAAACTAAGTTTCTTGGTCTCTGCACATAATAAACAGATTTCCCAGGCCTTAAAAACAAAAACCAAGGTAAGTATTTGTAAGGAGAACAAGCCAAAGATGGCATGGCTATTTCGGAAGACACTGTGAGCTCTACCTCCGATTATGTGCCTGCACTAGCTTCACAAGTCTGAGAGCAGGTGGCAGAACAGCCACAAGAACGGCGCGACTGCCTCACGCACGTCCCTTGGACATGTAATCGAGAGACTAGTCCCTGGAAAAGGACACCATGCTTGACAAAGTGGAGGGGCAGTGAAGAAGAGGAAGACCCTCGTCAAGATGGAGCGGCGCAGTGGCTGCAACAGTGGGCTGACGGCGCAGGACCAGGCAGGGTTCTGTTCTGCTGTGCACCGGCTTGCAGTGAGTCAGCACTGGCCCAATGGCACCTAACATCAGCAAGAGCACATCAATCCATTTTTGAAAGGCAGGGGGATGGCATGAATTAACTGGAAAAAGGAAATGCTGAATCTAGCACTGAGGTAAAGCGTACAGAAAGTCTCCTCCCACCTCTAAGCTGGTTTCCTTGTGAGACACGCTTGACTCACATCTCTCCGTCTGTAAACTCAACAGGTAGATTCCTGGGGGCAACTTCAGGATGAGAGCAAACCCCTTACTGGAGCCAAAGGCCCCCCCCACCCAAGAGTGTGTGTGCCATGAGGAATGCCAGCACAGGGCAGAGTAGCTCAGGACCACACATCAGCCCTGGGCCTGCCACACAGACAAAGCCCCAAGGGCTTGCCTGGAACGTCTCCTAGGCTTCTGAACGCTCTCCTCACCCTTGGAGTACACACCCAGGGCTGTCATCAAACTGGCTTAACCCACACCCTGGCCTCCAAATACCAGGCTAGAAGACTGTCTGGGGACAATAGGTGGTTGTGCAGGAATTTCCCAAGGGGTGGCCGACTGGATCGGATGACATTAAAAGTACCTGCTCATCTTGATTGTGTAAGCTACTTTGGGGGGGGGCGGTTATCGCGGGAGACATCGTGGGAGATGTAGATCAAAGAGGTCCTTTGATCTACTGATGTTCTCATAAGAGGCTAACTCCCCTAGGGGGGAGGGGGGTGAAAGAAGTGCTTCCACAGTGCTGGGACAGATTGTATCATTTCTGAGAATTAGAACAGATGCAGGACAAGACAGAAGAGAGGGCTCAGTTCATAGAGCATCTCTTAGATCCTCCCTCTTAGTCCTACCAGGAGGCCTATGAAATTGCCTTGTCCACAAATGGCCCATCTCATAGACTTCTTGTGATACGGCACTGACACCCGTCCCCTCCATGACGTGGGGGGTAACCACGGACCTTCGCCTTGAGAAGGAGATCCTCTGGCAGACTCTTTTTGAACAAATTGAGTGGACACCAGTGTCTTGGCGTGACTCGAGACGAAGGTCAAATAAGTCAACCCCAGCTTCCAGTTGGCCGTTCTCATCTCAGGATGTTCTCCGTTGGCCCCCAGCCACCATGCTATAAGATGGCCCAGGCGACACGCAGGCATGCCAGCCAAGCGCCAGCAGTAACTATCAGACCCGTGAGTGAACAAGGCGCCAGGTGACTGCCCCAGGCGACGGCAAAGGGAGCAGAGAACAGGTGTTGGTAGCCCAACCGACTCTGCCTAAACTGCAGGTCCATTAGCAAAACAAGTGGATTGCCGCCTTGAACCATGATGCATGTTTTGGGTAATCAATGCCACCTGTATTAATAGGAAAGCAGGTGACCTTCCCTGACCTTACACAATAGTACAGTTCCTATGCTTTCAATCCCTGGAACAGGGGTCTCTGGCTCATCCCTGGCAAGACCTCCTCTGAGAAGTTGGCTGGGAGCTCCGCTCCACCGCTGAAACAGAGGTACAGACCAGGGCTTCCCTTGGCAGCCCTGCACCCCTAGATGAGCACTTCTCACTGGGCTTCCGCTAGAAGGGGCCCAGCTGTGTGTTTCACAGGGGGGCTGCCTTGTCAGACACACGAGGTCTCCATGCACTCATGTGTCCAAGCTCTCCCTTGTGAGAATGACAGAAGGGCCCGTTTTCCACCAGTCTAAGCCATGGAAGCAACAGAACTAGCTGTGTCCGTTCCTCCCCGACACTCGCAGCAAGCCCGGCCCGAGTGGTCCCTCTTCTACTTGGTCTAAGCCTTCAGTTCTGTTCCTAGAAGCTGGGTCTACACTGCACCCTGCTAACAAAACGCGTCAGTGGAAGCCACGGAACTCAGCAACCTGGTCAGCCTAGATTAGAGAGGAACACTAAACTGAACAAAACCCAAGACCAAGTTCACTGCCACTGAGTTGATGCCGACTCATAGCGACGCTATACGACAGGGTAGAACTGGCCCTGGGAGTTCCCGAGACTGTAGCTCTTTACAAAAGTAGAAAGCCCTGTCTTTCTCCCAAGGAAGGCTAGGTGGTTTCGAACCGTTAACATTGTGGTTAGTAGCCCAATGTGTAACCACTTCGCCACCAGGGTTCCTTTCCCTTAGGAAAGGCTCTGGGTAATTCTGCCCGCTACCAAAGGTCTACAGCCTTTGCTGAGCATCACTGGCAACAATGACAAGACCAGAGAAGTCAGACAGGTCCAATGACACAAGATTCTGCAAAAGGCAAAACTAGAGAGACAGAAAATAATGATCAGGGGTCCCGAGGAGGGAAGAAGGGTGGGTGGAGCACAGGGGATGCTCAGGGCAGGGAAACTACTCAGTGATACTGCAATGGGGGACCCAAGGTCCTAGGTATTTGTGAAAATCCACAGAAATAGGTAACACAAAGAGTGAACTGCGGGATTCGGTTAAATCACATGTCAGTATTGGTCCACACATTGTAACAATGCGCCACCCAAAGGCCAGATATTGATCATCTGGGAAATGATATGGCCGGGAAGAGGAGGCAAGTGTGAACTCTGGACTTCTTGTTCAATTCTGCCGGGCAAGCTTGCTACCATTCTAGAGTCCCGGACGGCACATGTGCAGAAGCAGGTAAATGGTTCAGACCTCCCCAACTGTGTCTCAGGGGACAGGCCTGGCATTCTGCTCCCTGAAAGTCCCGCAGAGCAATTCTACTTCAGATCCACTCTGTCACTAGGGGCAGGACTCACCTGAGGACACAAAACTGTTAAGAACTTTAAAAGCTTATTACTTACGAAAAGAAAAAAAGTCAGCCACTTCTATTGGGGGTGGGGTCGGGGAGCTTGTGCTGAAATACAATCCCCATAAAAAGACTCTGGTTTAGATCTTGGTCATTATTTCTCTTGCTAGATTTTAGTCATTAAATGGCCAAAAGGAGTCCGCTGGGAGAAAGATGGCGTCGGAGAAGATTCCAGCCCTGGAAACTTCCTGGGGAAGTTCTACTCTGTCCTATTAGGTGACCATGAGGATTGCCTTGATGGTACTGGGTCTGGTGCTGGGTCTAGTCACAGCCCGACACACAGTAAGCCTTCAACCACTATCTGTTGGATGACAAATGGCCGAGTCTCCCAGCAGACAGACCAGACCGCAGTCCTGCCAACATTGAAGACTAATTTGGTCTGCTAGGTCTACCGGGGACAAGAGGAGCCTGGGGCGATGGCAAGGATAACTAAAGCAAGCGTGGTACCTGTGTCGTCTGAATGATGGTCAAGTCGTTCATCTGGGAAATTCCTGCTCCCATGGCCGCTCGAAGGCCAGCCGTCCCAAACTCCATCCGGGCCCCGAAACATTTTTGTAGTTCTTCTTTATTACCCTCCGCGACTAGCTGCTTCACCGTCTCAGACGTTAAAGGATTCTGCCAGACAGAAAGGTACGGTCAGGGGAGTAAGAGGGAGAACTAGCTAAAACACACAACTACACATTTCTTAAAAACCAGTCCTTCCAACCCATATGAAAGTCTTCCTGTACCTATTGCCTTTTCCACCTACTGATGTCTCAGCTATTGGAAGCTGGCTGGCGTTAGCCTGTATTGTTCTCTTTATTAGCACTACAAACACTATGGGGCAAAAAAAAATGGCACAAGAGTTGGTTTTGATGCTTAGCAAGTGTAGCACCCATGAAGTAACCCTAGTTTATCACTTACCGACTCCCTTTTTATTTGGTGGAGAATTCAACTTCTTGAACTTTCCATTCCCTCATTTGTAAAATGGGAACCACCCAGCAGCTCTTCTACAGGATGATGCTGAAGACGAGATGAACGCAAAGCACCTCTCTCGGCCTGGTTGGCATTTATAATAAAATAAATGCCTTCCTTAACATCCTTAAATTTGCCCAGAGTATGCAGTCTAAATCAAGCCTGATAACGTTCACACACTTGATTCTTGCAATGACTCCCAGGGGCAGGCAAAGAAAAACGAAGAAACAAGCAAAATGAATAAACACTTGCTTTTATCATTGAAGGAGCCCTAACCAAGGGCCTCTTCTATTTTATTAACTGCTTGGTCAAGTAGAGGGCAGTGAAAAAGAGGCCGACCCTTGCCAAGACGGACTGACACAGTGACTCCAGCCGTGGGCTCCAACATGACCAGAATGGTGTGGATGGCGCCGAACTGGGAGGTGTTTTGCTCGGTGGCACATGGGGTGGTTATGGGTCACGGCTGACTCACCAGCACCTAACAACAGCCGCACCAAGTAGAAATGAACGTGAGTCATTTAAAGTCATCGGCTCTTTCTTCATACGACAGTTGGAGGAAAAGGTTAAGAATGGGGAAAAGTAATGACAATCGCATCCATTCCACGGGAGACTTTGGCTGTATAATTAAGAATTCAGGGGAACAAGCAGTAAATACTTCCTTACAGTCACCATCTACTTAGATAAACATTCAGGCAGTCCAGAGCCATACAACTCTACTTTGAAATGCTACTGCAATAAAAACTTGCCTTTATGGGAGTGAGCCCTAACTTCTGGGGTGTTCCAATGTCAAGGGGAATCCGGTTTCCCATAAAAATCAAGACACGTATCACAGAGGCTTCCTCAGCAGAAGGTCAGGTACCCTAAGGAAGGGCTCCTACCTGACACATTACAGAAACCCATCAAGTATTTGCTGAGTGAATCAAAATACAAAGAGACACCAGGGTCACACCCAATACCCAGATACGCTCCCAATGACGAAGGAGATTTGAACATTCCGATTGCCCTTTGATACCTACAAAAGGCTAAGTAGCCCAAGGGAAACCAAAGGAGGCAGCGAGATAGGAGAGTCAAGAGGGCTGCAGGTCAGAACCAGCCAGAGTACCCAAAATTAATGAGAGAGAAAGGAACAGGGAGGAAAAATCCCCACTGCCATCGATTCCAACTGATGGCGACCCGGTGGGACAGGGTAGAACTTCCCCTATGAGGTTCTGAGACCGTAACTCTTTACAGGAGTAAAAATCTCTTCTTTCTCCCACAGATCAGCTGGTGGTTTTGAACAGCTGCCCTTACAAATGGCAGCCCCATGAGCAGCCCAATGCACAACTCACTACGCCACCAGGATGAAGGCAAAGCATGTCCAGGGGGACCTCACCAGTCTTCTAGTGACTCAGACCCACGCTACAATGCGTTCCACTGGCTGGAAGCCTCCAGAGACCCCTTAGCTCAGCAGTTCTCAACGTGTGGGTCACGACCCTGCGGGGGTCAAACCACCCTTTCACAGGGGTCGCCCATTTCCGAACAGTAGCAAAATGACAGTGATGAGGTAGCAACGGAAAGCATTTTATGGTTGGGGGGGGTCACCACAACATGAGGAACTGTATGAAAGGGTCGTGGCATGAGGAAGGTTGAGAACCACTGCCTCAGCTCATCCAAGGAAGGAGCAGCAGAAATGAAGGGGCCCTTCCTCATGAGGTGCCTGCCCCGAGCCAGAAAAGAAATTGGGAGAGAAAGCAAAATTCAAAAACCAAAAAATCTTAAAGGGAGCACATCCCTGAAGCTCTATCAAGACCCCCCAAAGGAAACCCATTGCCTTCAAGTCAATTCAGGCTCATGGCAGCTCCTTGTGCACTGCAGCCCTGTGGTTTTCAGGGCTGTAACCTTTTCTAAGTGACTGCCAGGACTTTCTCCCTGGTGAGATTGACCCCTGGGTGAGTTTGAATTTAGTGGTCAGTGCTTAACCATCTGCCTCCTCCATGGGAGGACTCCTCAGCGCTATTTGAGACCCAGCAGCTCAGAGGCAATAAGCCAAACAGCAAAAGATTTAATTTCTTGAAAGTTTTATGGAATGCTGGGCCACCGATTCTGATTCACAAAAATAAAATTATACCCACAGATTACTAAGGTACCAAAAAATGGAACTAATTGATCTCCCATAAGAACCACAGGGCTCTTTTCACCTGGAGAATTGCCAATGGCATTGTGGAAGCAGGATCTGCCTGGCCCCTGCTACTGGGGCTTGTAATCACATTCATGCCACTCAAAACACGCTGGCGGGTGACCAGGAGTTGGATCTCGGTCATGCAGGCATGGCTGTCTGCTTCCCAAAAGTTATACCACAATCACTTGATCTCCCTTTTGACTTGTTTAAAATTTCAGTTTTGAACATTTTCTGCTTTTTTTTGGATTGAGGCTTCCTTGTACTTTGTTTTGTCGCTGTCCTCCGTGGGATGTGTGATTTCCTGCATATGAAATCTGTACTCCGCACAACTATAGGCAGAGTAACTGGATGGCAGGGGAGGTTGGGGGAAAGGGGAGATAACAAGGAGTACAAGAAAGAAGAAAATGTTCTGAAATTGATTGTGATGACTGCGCAACCTTTTTTTTTTAATAAATCATTTTATTAAGGACTCTTACAACTCCTATCACAATCCATACACACATCAATTGTGTCAAGCACATTTCTACATTCATTGCCCTGATCATTCTCAAAACATTTGCTCTCCACTTAAGGTCCTGGCATCAGCTCATCTTTCCCCCTCCCTCCCCGGTTCCCCCTCCCTGATTGCACAACTCTTAATGTGATTAAACTATTAAATTGTATGCTGTGTAATTATATGCTAATAAAACTACTTTTTTTTTTAAAAAAAACAAACCACCCTAGATACCTATATTATTAACTAATAACTCAACTGTGAATGAAAGTTACTTGATCGTTATATAGAAAAAGATGTACTGCTTTGGAACCCGCTGGAGCACACCATGTGCTGGCTCAATGCAAAATGAATATACCAAGGTCTCTTGTACAAAAGCGACTTAAAATGTCAACAGTCAAGCCAAGCATGGCTGAGCACAACGTCTTAAGCTCCTGAAACCGGCCCCCACCCTCTGCCTTCTCCTCCCCTCAAATCCAAAGTCACTGACATCGAGTCAATGCTGACTCATGGTGACCCTACAGGGCAGGGTAGAATTGGCCCCTGTGGGTTTTCATGAGTGTTACTCTTTAAGGAAGTCCAAAGCCGCGTTTTCCTCCCGCGGAGCAGCAGATAGTTTCGAACTGCTGGTCGTGCGGTTAGCTTTGCAACCAAGAAACATACACGCAGGTGTTTGCCTTTACTTTGTCGCCAGGGCTATGGGTTCTTGCTGCAAGAAAAGCTACAAAGGACACCACACAAATGCGGCTGCTTGGAGAGAGTCTTAGGGGTCAAGAC